GTCAGGCAGAGCTGGAAGGTGCCCAGAAAGAGGCTCGTTCACTCAGCACTGAGCTGTTCAAGATGAAGAACTCCTATGAGGAGACTCTGGATCAGCTGGAGACCCTCAAGAGAGAGAACAAGAATCTGCAGCGTAGGAATGAAACATTAAAAAGTAAATGTAAATGACTAATGAATGTTCATAATGATACAGATTATTTTTTTCCCTTCTATAGAGGAGATTTCAGATCTGACAGAGCAGTTAGGTGAGACTGGTAAGAGCATCCATGAGCTGGAAAAGGCCAAGAAGGCAGTGGAGACTGAGAAGGCAGAGATTCACAGAAAGCACACTGCAAGCTTATTGTAAAGCTATTGTTATGTTCAAAACGCCCAACTGCACCTTGATGATGCTCTGAGAGGACAGGAAGACATGAAGGAGCAGGTGGCCATGGTGGAGCGCAGAAACACTCTGATGCAAGCTGAGATTGAGGAGCTGAGAGCTGCTCTGGAGCAGACAGAGAGAAGCCGCAAAGTGGCTGAACAAGAGCTGGTGGACGCCAGTGAGCGTGTCGGGCTGTTGCACTCTCAGGTAAAGGCATATTGTTTTTACAATGAAATGAAGGAAATTGAGATCATCTTTAAAAGTTTTCATACTGTTGCTTTTCATGTTGCAGAACACAAGTCTCCTGAACACAAAGAAGAAGCTAGAGGCTGACTTTGTTCAGATCCAGAGTGAAGATGAAGACACTGTACAGGAAGCCAGAAATGCAGAGGAGAAGACCAAGAAGGCCATCACTGATGTGAGAAACAGTAGCTGCCAAATGTTTCACAAAACACTTGTGTACCTAAAAATGTGGCTCTATATATATCTATATTAATGCAAAAGGCTGCAATGATGGCAGAAGAGCTGAAGAAGGAGCAGGACACCAGTGCTCACCTTGAGAGGATGAAGAAGAATCTGGAGGTCACAGTGAAGGACCTGCAGCACCGTCTGGATGAGGCTGAGAATCTGGCCATGAAGGGAGGAAAGAAACAACTCCAGAAACTGGAGTTCAGAGTAAGCATGTTCATAGTTATGACAGACAGTGTGGAGTATATGTTATATTATGATATATTGTGTTTTGTTTCAATACAAATTTTAATAATCTTTTCTTTAGGTCTGTGAGCTTGAGACTGAAGTTGAGGCAGAGCAGAGACATGAAGCTGATGCTGTTAAAGGTGTCCACAAATATTAAAGGAGAGTGAGAGAGCTGTCTTATCAGGTATGACCATATTCTTTATAAGTTCTTTCAGACAAATGGGTCTGCATAATATTACTGTACTGGCAATACCTATTTGTAGTAAAGGATCATTAATTAATTTAGTAAATATGTGTATTGTTTGAAGACTGAGAAGGACAAGAAGAACATCACCAGACTCCAGGATCTGGTTGACAAGCTGCAACTGAAGGTCAAATCTTACACGAGGCAGGCTGAGGAGGTGGTTTGTAAATCTAATAGAAAATTTTGTCACTGTAGTTATTTATACTGCTATGCTAAGTTGCTGATGCCACTGGTTGTTATAATGGCTAAAGCATAGTTATGGAACACACCACAAAAACCACCTTTAGGTGGAGCAAGCCAATATTAACCTGCCCAAGTTGAGGAAGGTGCAGCATGAGCTGGAGGAGGCTGAGGAGCGTGCTGACATTGCTGAGTCAACAAGTCGAGTCAACAAGCTCAGAGCCAAGAGCCATGAAGTTGGAAAGGGCGATGAGATTATTTATTAATCTTTTGTATCAAAATAATTGCTATAATAACATCTATATTTGCCTCTTCCTTCTTTCCCAGGCCAAAGAAGATTGAATCTTTAAAACTTAAAAGGAACATCTACTGAAGTCATATAATATGATTTTTTTTTGTAGAGGTACCTTTCTTGCCCTTAAAAAATAAACCTGTATCAGCATATGATTATCTTTTGTGTGATTTTACAGCAACATACACTATCGCAACACAACATAAATATCTGGTGTAAATTATTAAAACAAACCATATCATTCACCTTTTATCATTCACATCTGATTATCAAGAGTGTGTTGAATTTTAACTCTTAAAGGTTTTATAATAGTTAAAAAGATTCCATAAAAATATGAAATCTCATCTTGATAGAATGTATTTGCACAAACATTTTTGCTATAAAGTTTCCATCCTTGGAGACGCTATATTCCTCAAGCAATTTCATAGAATAATCAACTTAGCCAACATTACAATAGTAAAAACAGAAATCAGACCATACCTTTCTGTATATACTGTAAAGCTTAAAACTGGACTACTGTTCTGTTAAAAGTGTGAAGTGATGTGATGTGTGGCCAAGTATGGTGTGCCATACTCGGAATTTGTGCTCTGCATTTATCCCATCCAAGTGCACACACACACACAGCAGTGAGTAGTGAACACACACACGGAGCAGTGGGCAGCCATTTTTGTGGCAACGCCTGGGGAGCAGTTGGGGGTTCGGTGCCTTGCTCAAGGGTTTCACCTCAGTCGTGGTATTGAGGGTGGAAGAGAGCACTGGTCATTCACTCCCCTCACCTACAATCCCTGCTGGTACAGAGACTCGAACCCGCGAACTTTGGGTTACAAGTCCGACTCTCTAACCATTAGGCTCACGACTGTTAACTAGCCTTCCAGTTAGCATGATTAAACCTCTACAGATGATCCAGAGATCTAACAGGTCAATATATTATTGGGAGAAAGTTATCTGTTAGCATTCCCATTCATCTCGTAGCAGTTGCTTCTGTGACACAGACCCCCTGCAGAAATATGCCATTTGAAATCTGGTGGCTCATTGAATAAATGTAAACACTCACTATTGCTCTTTGTACTACAGCAATATGATCAACAAACTACGAGACAAGAGCTGTGGTCAGTGCAGTTGCTAGGTTTTCTTGTCTCCTTTACATAGTTTATTGCATTGGGCCCCTTGTAATGGCAGTCTGGGGGGTTGGTAGAAACTGTGGTGGCCCTGGGGGGGAAATCGTTTGGGCCCACTGTACTCAGTTTCCCCCACTAGTGACACCTCTGGCTGTGATGCTGGAAATGTAAGATTGAATTTATGAATTGAGTTTATCCAAATATATTATTTCTTAGCAGAACTATGAATAATCCAGTTTTGTTTGTTACATGTAGTGTATGATTTGTTTTATATGTGATATGTTTACTAAGTGCAGCTTACGTAACCAAATTCATACTTTGCGTCTAATTTGCCTCTTCCTCATTTCCCAAGCCAAAGAAGAGTGAATCTTTGAAAGTTAAGCAGTGTATTTTCCCCCAAGTCCTATAGTTCTTTGTATTACCACATGACACTATCTTTGGAATTTGAGGTAGGACATAATATTTTAATGAAAGACATGTATACATTTTGGGATGACTAATTGAAACAATATGAATAATAATAATAATTTTTCGTATTAACTTCAAATTTATGTTATAGACTACTTATGACCATTGTCTCCTAATTAAGTTTAAAAATGCCTTACATTAAAATACAGAGACACTGCAGTAAATAGCATTAAAATAGCAAATGAATGAATCACTGAATCTTTCCCCTTGTCAAGTAATATAGTTTACCCATCCCAATCATAAAAAGGATCAGTTTGCATTAGGTACAAATAGACACTTTAGTACTCATAAACTGGCAGTGAACTATCATGGTATTTTTTATGAGAGAAATAACATAACGATCTGACAGTCAATCGTTACTTATACAGGGTTGTATAAGATATGCAATATTAAATGTTCTTGTGTTACAAAAAATGAGATCTCAAATGTGTCATTTATATGTTTTGATATTATTCCAATTTAAACTGCAACAAAAATCATTCCCTAATATATAATTAAATCATTTCATTTCCCAATGAAGATAATTAAAATCAATTACAGTCCTATGCCTATGCAGAAAGGAAATTATTTTTCTTCTTAGTCAATTTAAAATGAAAGAGTATAAATGTAAATATGTAAACAGATATGTAAAAATATGTAAATGTAAAAGTATTATATGCTGATTCCTATGAAAGATAACTATATTTAAATCTATCATGTAATTTAATCCAAATGTGAACATCTTTTGAAGTATTGTGTTGTCAAATTCATGTGATAACTATAACTGTGTTAAAGGCTGTCATATATGTTGATAACTGAGAATAGATGCAGCTTCTTACCATAAAATAAGACTCTAAAGCTTGTCCATAAATAGACTCTGCTTGGTGTGCAAAACTGACCTCAATAAAAGCATGGAGGAGAGCATGACCAGGCTCAGAGGAGACTAGTGGCATTCCAACTTGCGGTAAGAGGCTGAAGTATTTTGCATTTGATGTTGTTATTTGTGCGAGATTGTACTAAACAAATTGATATGACAGAGGACAAAGTCTTTAATAAGATAATATTTTAAAATAATTTATATTACATCCACATTCACATAAACCATCTATGTCTAAATGTTGTTTATGTTTAACTGAATTTCTTGGCAGGGCTGTAAAAAATTCATCTGGTCTCAAGGAGCAGGAAGGTAGGTGGTAACAATACATTCTGTTACTGCATTAAAGATTTGGTTGAATATTAGCAGGTCTGTGGTCAAATGCATGTAGACTGATTATTGTAGATGTGCTGATGTTTTTTGATAAATGAGTTTTAAGTGTTTTATACTTGTCCAAGAGCATATTTTAAGTGGGACTCGTGACACAATGTACGCATAGCGTATGTGCACTGTGGTACACAGAACTGAAAGAAAAAAAAAACAATTCTGTTTAATTTGTGTTTATACATTTTGTTTATGTATTACAATGCACCAGAAAACTGCACCTTCTGACAGCAGAGCTAATCAAGGACAGCATCAATTAAGGACTAATGTGTTCACATTTTCTTTTTATTATTTTAATAGGCTTTTTACTTTTTAATAGACCTGACTTACACAAGACCCTAGTTATTTTATTGATACAAAAAGCACTACAATGTTTCTTTTTACAAATTTTAGTAAGCCGCCACCATGAGTACGGACGCGGAGATGGCCATTTATGGCAAGGCTGCCATTTTCCTTCGTAAGCCTGAGAAGGAGAGAATCGAGGCTCAGAACAAACAACTCGATGCTAAGAGTGCCTGCTATGTGGTTGATACTAAAGAGCTGTATGTCAAGGGAACAATCAAGAGCAAAGACGGTGGCAAAGTCACTGTTACTGTGAATGACACTAAGGAGGTGAAATTTTAACATTCCATTACATTTTTTTACATATTTACTTTTACATATTTTTCTGGTCTTTCTGAAATCTAATGGATCAAATTTATAGGAGAAAGTTGTTAAAGAGGATGAAGTCCACCCAATGAATCCTCCCAAGTTTGACAAGATTGAGGACATGGCCATGATGACCCATCTCAATGAACCCTCTGTGCTGTATAACCTCAAAGAGCGTTATGCCGCATGGATGATCTACGTAAGTCCTGGAGCACAGTAAAACAGCATTTATGTTAATCTTGTCAGTGTTGTTGCAATCTGACCACGTCTCTGCTCATTTCAGACCTACTCTGGACTGTTCTGCGCTACTGTGAACCCCTACAAGTGGCTCCCAGTGTATGATGCAGAAGTGGTGGCTGCCTACAGAGGCAAAAAGCGTATGGAGGCCCCACCTCACATCTTCTCTGTCTCTGACAACGCCTATCAATTCATGCTGACTGGTAAGACCTTACGGAATTTAATTCTATAGATTTAAATAAGAGTTGCTATTAATAAGAGATTTACTGGACATTGTACACATTGCATTCAACAGATAGAGAAAACCAGTCTGTCCTGATTACGTAAGTATTTTCATTTCATTGACTGACAAAAAAATGAAAGTATATGTATGACAAATATAAAGTATATATATATATATATATATATATATATATATATAT